AGGGAAGAGTAGAACAGGGCAAACCTGTGTGTTACTTGCTCCTTCTGCTCTCCCAGTCTACAGCTGTTGTCAGATCAGACCATGGTTTCTGTGTCTGTGGTAGTGCTCAGTCAAATTCCCATCCATGAACTTACACAGTCTATGAATCTGTGTAAACTTCTTGCATCTACAACGTCCTCCAGTCAGGAGTTTCACAGATAACTGTGAAACATCCCACTGGATGAAAAATTGCTCTGTTTTTTTTTATCGTATCTCCTCCAACAAATCTGTGGTTGTGCTCAGTCAAATTCCCATCCACAAACTTGCACAGTCTCTGAATCTGTGTAAACTTCTTGCATCTACAACGTCCTCCAGTCAGGAGTTTCACAGATAACTACCCAGTGGATGAAGAATTGCTCTGTTTTTTTTGATCATATCTCTTCCAACAAAAGTATTAAGAGCATCAAATAAAGGCAGCAGGAGTCAGGCTCAAAATCACTGCTTCCTGTCCTGACCACTGACTGTTGTGTAGACCTCTGGGCTCCCTGTTGTCTCCTTGTAGCAAGGTGGGACATCACACTGGTCAGTGTGGTGCTAGTGACAGAACACGTGTCATGTTTTGGTGTGTGCTGAATGAAGCAGGGAGAAATAACAAAGGTAGCAGAGTGGCAGGTGTCTGCTGGCAGCCCAGAGTAATAATTCATGATCTACCTGGGGCAAACAAGTATGATGAGTGTAGGATTGGGCTGGAGTCTCCAGAGCTGGGGTGCAGAGCATGGTTTGTGCAGGGTCATCAACACCATTTGGTGGTTGTGAAGAATGTTCTCTATTCCTCAGATCATGCTGCTTATCTCAGGCCAAGCAAGACTCAGTAAGTCTGCTCAGCCCCCTCAGTCCTTCGGGTAAGGTGGTTCCTCACTGTGTGTTCTCAGCCCCTGGATCTTTGGGTGCCCGTTCAGAGGAAACATAGTTTGCAACTCGGCCAGTCTGCAAAGCAGCAGCAATTTTGTCTCTGGATTTTCACTCCCAAATACTCACAGCAGCTTTCTGTATGTGCCTTTTAGGCTGTTGGCAGTATTTGAAAGGTTAGGATGTCCTGGAACAGGACCAGTCTGAGCTGTGCTTGCCGGCGCTTTGTTCCGTGGGCACGCAGGGTCCCTGTCCTGGCCACAGAGGAGTTTCATCACCTCGTGATCCCTTCACCTCCATTCCCCTTCAGGCCCCAAAGCAGCACATCTAAAGGATGAACAGGGCACCCCAGAGCTCTGCTGGGTGGGGATTCTCTGTGGAACAGCCAAGGCAAGACGTGGCTGTCTCGCCTTCAGGTTGGACAGTGGGGACTGGAGCACGGAAAAATCCTACGTTTGTACCTGGAATGTGGACAGGAGAGGGTTGAACCCACAGTGCCCTGACCTCGTGGTGGATGTTCCCAGCTCTGTCATGTGCCTGGCTTTCCACCCCTCCCAGCCTTCGCTGATAGCGGGTAGGTGGCTCTTACCTTAGATGTTATGTGAAATGTACCCTTACTTCCTTCAGCTTGCATCGTTCCTTTTCTCTCTCAGCCCAGCCTGAGCTTTCTTGCAGAAGTAACCATGTCTCAGCTCCTCAAACCAAGGAACTCATGCTCACAAACAAACACTTGCTTCTGAACTGGGACTTGCTGCTTCTTCAGTGATATCTGCCTTTATATCATCTCCTCAGAGAGAGATGATAGAAGGAAATCCAGCCCTGGGTGTAAGTGGGAAGAGATACTGACTCTGGCAGAGCGTTATTCTTTTACACCAGAGCTGGCTGTGTCCTGTACAGAGCTGCCAGTCCTTTGAAGCTGGTGGGGACATTTCCACTGTAGCTTCATTTGTGCCTTTGTTCTGAGCTATTAGCCCTTAACTGTTTTATCCTTGTCCTCCCAGGTGGCCTTTTCAGTGGGGAGCTGGTGGTGTGGGATACCAGCCGGAGCGAAGACCCTGTGACCTGGAGGACAGGGATGACAGATGACACTCACACCGACCCCGTCTGCCAGGTAACAGGACACCCAGCAGGCGTGGCTGGGGCAGGCAACTGCTGCCATTGCTCCATGTCATCCCTTCAGTTGCTATCTGCAGACAGGCCGCTACCTTTCAACAGTTTTGTTCTCTTGCTTGGCTATTTTCCCCCCAGTCTAGCTGCTGAAAAGGCATTTGCTGAACTCAGCACTCACCCAATAAAATAGAACTTTGTGCTGTTCAGGATGAATGAAGAGCAGGCCTGTTCCTGTGCTGTAACTGGTCACTGATACCAAGGAGCTAACAGTATGTGTAGTGGTTTAGAAATCTAAGCAGCAAAAGTATTGCTGATCCTTAGCTGGAAGCTTAACACTATGTGCTTTAAGCATGTCACACACCCTGGCTTCCTAGGGTTTTTTTTTTAATCCTTCTGGGGTCCTGTGACTCTGGGCATCACTGTATTTTCTCATCTGGAGTTCAGGAAAATGCTGCTTTTTAGAGCTGGATGAGTGTGTTACAAATAACCACACCCAAAAGCGATGGCAGGTGAACCACAGAGCCTGCAGTGCAGCATTCAGCCCTGAGCACGCTTCTCCCCGGGCACCTACAGCCGTGCCCCAGCTCCCAGGAGCAGCTGCTTTGGTCCCGAGATCGCTGCTGCCTGGCTCTGCCCCCGTGTTGTCCTGGCAGGGCAGGGCCCACAGGCTGCCG